CTTCAGGGGATTTTAATGATAAGAATATTCATAACCATCGACTTTATACTTTGAGATTACATTGTTGGGGAAAATTTAAATTTAAATGTTTAGTTGTTACGCAGCAACGCTTTATTTCTGTGGCGGCAAGAAGATACACGTTCGTTACGTTTGTTAAGTGATAATAGATCGGAAGACAGATAATTAAAAATTCCTCTTTGAGGCTAAGGTTACATCTTTTACTTGAACTGTCGTAGGATGAGCTAGATGAAATGATACGCAATGAAATAGAATAGTCAATGTTGCTGTCTTTAAGGGACCAGACATGTTTGCTGAGTTCCGTAGAGTTCCTGTGTTTTGTGTGCCGGAATGATGCAGTGTGGTTGCTGTATCTAGTTTTGAAGGCGTTTTTTGTGAGTCCGATGTATGTTTCAGAAGTGTTATTGTCGTTACGTCTGACGGTTGCTTGGTAGATAAACTGATGGTTGAAGGCAGTTTCCGTTAAGAGGGCATGTGTTCTCACACAGATAAATCCACAGATAACTCTGTTGACAACAAATCATGCAACTGCCGACAAACTACGGACCGAGTTTATTTTCATCGAAATCGATGGAAAAAAACGAGGATCCGTAATGTACAGTACGGACCGAAAAAATCGAGGCTAATGAGAGGTTTATTATATGGCTTCTTCCTGTTTGGGGGACCGAAAACAAGTGCAGGACGCACGATTTGACAGATTTGACAGGCGTCAAAAAAGAAAGTTCTTATTGGCGCACGAAAACAATAGCACATAACAAAGGCTTTCCGAGAAAGTAAAAACAAATTCGCCATGTTGAAAAAGTTCATTCGGGCAAAACTAAGAGCACTGTAAGTTTTAGCTCTTTAATGTAACGCTGGAGTATTTTGGAAACCAGACACTGTGTCTGTGTAGAAATCGTTTCCATCTTTCCTCAGCATGTCCTTGTAAAAAAAAAAAAAAAAATGCTGCAAAAGGCAAAGAAGCTTTTCAAGGTAAGTTTGTTGTCATTGTCGAAGGATTTGCTTGTTAATTGTTTTTTGGAAAACCTCTCTTTCTGCCAGTTCATTCTCGTCTTCAATTGTGATCTACGTTAAAATTTTCAAACACTGACTAAAATTCTCCTCCTTGGTAAGGTTACGATTCAGTTTCTACATCAGCTCGTTCTCATTAAAACAAAGCTTGGTTAAAATTTGGAAAGGCAAAGTCAACATCCCAGTCCTCAGGGTTTACAGACATATTTTAAAGTTTATTAGGTCAAAACTAAGAGCACTGTAAGTATTCACTCGTTAGTGTGACGCTGGAGTCTTTTGAAAACTGGACATTGTCTGGCTCGAACTCGCTTCTATCTTTCTTTCGTTGGTCTTTGAAAAACACTGCAAATGGCAAAGAAGCTTGTCAAGATGATCGGGTGTAGGTATGTTTGTTATCATATTTGTCGAAGGAATCACTCATTTCTCTTAGGCAAAACAACTCGAATCTCTGCCAGTCGATTTTCGTCTTCTTAACTGTCTACTGCGATAAAATTTTCAAACGCTGACTAGAATCCTCTTCGATAAGATTACGAGTTAGTTTCTTCATCGCCTTCGTTCACAAATAAATACAGTTTAAAATGTTGAAGGCCAAAGTCAACATCCAAGTCCTCAAGGTTGGCAGGCGTCTTATAACTTTATTTAAACCTTTTTTCCGAAGTAAAGAGATTTAGAGCTCCGAAATAAGCATTTTGTTTAAAAATGTTGGTCCGTATAGCAAGTTACGGACCGCAAATTGACCAATCACATGGCGAAAAGAGACTCAGCCATATACATTGTAATAATGATTGGTACGTTCGATGTTATTTTTCAAGGCGTTAGATATGCGCCGAAGTAGTGGGCAACAGTATTCTAACTGGGACAACACGTAGGCTTTATAGAGGGAAATCATAACGTCCGAAGGAACTAAGCGCTTAATCCTCCGTAGTGCAGCTATCTTAGCATACGCTTTTTTCAGCATGATTGCCACGTGGGGCTTGAAAGACAGATCCCAATCCAATGTAACGCCAAGAATCTTGAGAGTTGGTTCAATTTTGATGGACTCTATGTCTTGATTCAGTGTAGATTCAAGTGTGCAGGGGCTTTCATGGGCTATATACTGCGTTGTGTCATCAGCATACAGACGTAGGGAGGAAGATCCAGCTGAGTAATTGACATCATTCACAAAGATATTTTAAAAAAAGCGGACCTAGAAGGCTCCCTTGCGGCACTCCAAGGCGAAGAGGCAGCCAGTCTGACACCTTCTCGTTACATTTTACTCGATGAAAGCGGCCTGATAGATATGACTGAATCAGTCTTATGGCCGAATCGTGAACGCCGTAAACTTTCAGTTTTGCTAGTAATAAACTATGACAAATCGAGTCAAACCCTTTGGATAGGCCAACAGCGACCACCGGCACATCCTTTTTATTGTCAAGAGCCTGGCGCCAATCATCAGTTAGCTTTAATAAAGCGGAACAGCAAGAATGTCCAAGCAGGAACCCTGACATATTATCCGGAAAGACTGCATGGTGTGAATACGCTATATAATTGATCAAATTTTAGTTTCTCAGACACCTTGGTATAACTGACAAGACACTAATAGCGAGATAATTCTTCCTAAAATGTTTCGTCGTCTTTCTTACGAACAGGGGTGACGTTACCAAATTTCCATTGACATGGCCACTAGCCTACGTCAATACAGTAACTAAAAAGTTTAGTCATGGGTCCGGCTATGACTGGAGCGGCAATTTTAAGCAACTTGGGTGATACTCCGTCGAGACCAGCTGACTTGCTAACGTTTAGATTAGAGGGGATCTCAGAAACTCGGGCCATGTGCACTAACTGGATGAAAATGAAAATTAAGTTTGGGCAGGAGCCCATAACCCGGAGCGTCTAACTTCCATACTGCGCCTATGCAACGGCGTTTTCACAAGTAGGTTTATTTTTAGATGAGCCTTTCCCGCGAATTGCTTTCGAAAAGCCAACCACAAGCAAGTGCGTCATCAGTAATAAACTTTTAATACGTAACCACAACAACTCCTTCACATTGAAAAAAAAGCGTGGCGGACGCACATGAGGAATCTTCAGAGGATTCTTATGACAGTACTTCAAGTAACAATTTCAGTATTTACACGGAAACTAGCAGTTCAGAGGAAGATCTGCAAAACGTAGAAGAGCCCGGGACGTCTACTTCATCGGCGACAACGCATAATTCACGCAAAAACAAATCGAAATCATCCTGGAAACAGCCGACTGTGAAAAGGTCCAAGCGACAAAAGTCATTTTTCGCGGAAAAAGCTTATCTAAAAATAAACTCACTTGTAAAAACGCCGTTGCACGAATTTATGGCAGTTGCACGCTCCGGGTTATGGGCTCCAGGTTTGGGTGCCTTCGTCTCAATATTGACAACACCGGCGTGACTAGAAAGTTCATCCAAGGACAAGGTTAAGACGGAATCATTAATTGTAGGAGACGTAAAATATTTATTAAGAGACGCACTGCACTCTAAGTCCAAAAGATATTTTTAAGCCCCAAAGTGCTGATTCAGCTCTATAGGCCCTGGAGCTGATTTGACCCTTCGTGGGGCCATTTTGTCAATTTGGTCTAAATCGACCCCAATAAAGACCATTGCAGCCCCATCGAAAACCATTTTGGCCCACAGGAGAAATTGTTTCAGCCATGTGATGCGTATCCGCCCCTTTCACCAGAGCCATTTCTGCTCATCACAAAAAATAGAGACATTTCGGGTTTTAGGATCTACTTGGGCCCAATTTAGGGCTGACTTGGCTTATACTTATAGAGCTGTTAAGACCCCATGACAACGCAAAATGGCCCGACCACCAGAACCAACACCGATTTGAAGGATATATGTTAATCTAATCAGTGTCTAGTCGGAAGCATTAGTTCCTTATCACTGAGTACGGGCCGCTTCATCTTTATCGTGGAGAGCTTGGATAGAGGGTTGGTAGTTCGAAAGAGCAAGTTAGACATGGCTAGAGGCAAACAAGTTTACACAAGCAACGGTGGAAAGAGCCCTCGCGTAAGTCATCTTGAATCACAACGATTTCTTAAATAGCGCATATTGGACCGAAGATCGTTGCTCTGACTATGTCCATTCTAATATAGATGATTTTCTAGACGAAGACAGGAGTCCATCATGGAGATGATCATAATATGATTACAGTGCATGAGGACGACAAAGAATTCCGTTTTTATTTTGCCCATTTTAAGGAAAGATTAAAATTTAAAAGGATAGTAAAGGCAGAGGCCGAGGAAAACCAGGTAAGAACATTTTATAGGTTATTGTAATTTTGCTTTCCCGCCAAGACATAACGATAGCGCAGGGTTTGGATACGAAAATAATTATTTACGTCACTCCAATGCACACTACCAAACTGCGCGCGCATGTTAGAAATGTTTAGGCGGGCTGTCATTTAATTCAACGGCCAAGTCAACGGACGCTCAATATTTTGAGCGAATTTCAGTTTGATTTTCACCAAACTCAGCGATTTTACTCCAAGCGAGAGATAGATCGTGGATAGATTCTTATCAAGATAATTGCCACGTTTTGTCTCATTTGTTTCGTAAAGGATCGAAGGATGACATCGCCGTTTGAAAGGTAAATGTCATGTGCAGTGCTACATTAAAACTGTTAGAATGAATTTATATACAACAATTTCAGACTACTTTGGAATCAAACAAGTTTTGCAGATAACAGTTTGTAGCGGAGCTCCTCCCGCGTGCAAAGCGCGCAGCGGAGCACCATGGGTAACAAAATGTGGTAAACTACCCATCCGAGAAAATTTGGTAATCACGTGACCGTACACCGCCCGCCCGACCATCCGTCCGCACCACAGGCATACCAACCCAAAATTTCGGGTAGTCTGTGGTGAGGGTTTTTTGGCGCGAAAACGAATGGCAACCCGCGTTTTGTGAAGCATAAACAACTTAGACATTTTATACATCCGTATTTTCTACATTATTTATTTATTATGCCCTCTAGTTTGGAGTATAGAGATAAAGAGAGGCAGAGAAAACGAGAAAGTAGGCGGCAAGCAAGCCAAGCTCAACGAGAGAGAGAGCGGCAGAGAGCTAGAGAAAGGAGGCGAAACTGCTCTGACGAGCAACGGGAGAGGGAGCAAGAAAGAAACAGAGAAAGGAGGCGCAATTTTACTGACGAGCAACGGGAGAAAGAGCAGGAAAGGGATAGAGAAAGGAGGCGCAATTTTACTGATGAGCAACGGGAGAGAGAACAAGAAAGGGATAGAGAAAGGAGGCGCAATTTTACAGATGAGCAACGGGAGAGAGAACAGGAAAGGGACAGAGAAACGAGGAAACATTTTAGCGGGGCTCCCGCGCGCGCGAAGCGCGCGTGGGACAGAGCCCCATACCCATGGAATATGGTCAACCTCTTTTCGTTTGGTTGTCACGTGATTGACCGAGCGTACGTACGTACGTACGTACGCGTCTACAGATTGTATGGGTGGGGTAGGGGAGACTATCAAAAGGTAGGGAGGGGTGTCTCAGGCGTGTCTTGGCAATTCCACATCTTTAATATAGGACATTAACAATATGGTCAATTGACAGCTGTCCAAACAGGATAGCCACTGACCAGTATCCCATGACCATATCGCGGGCTCATGTGTCAAGTCATCGAGGTGACGTGATTTATTTGGAAGCTGTCCGCTGACCAGTTAACTGTTTTACTAGATCGCGAACAACGTTCAATCTCATACTTTTACTAGTTTGGGAGCACAGGAAAACTGATAATGCACACATATGGACATCAATGTTTTGATCAATTGACAGCTGTCAAAACAGAGTACCCGCTGACCAGTATCACTTGACCGTATCGCGGGCTCAGGTGTCGACCCGTCGAGGTCAAGTATTTTTTGCAGTTATCCGCTGACAAGTAAACTAGTTTTCAAGTGATCGCAGCCTCAAGTTCAATTTTTTTCTTAATTCATATGAAATATGTTGTGTTTATGTGCTGCACAATTAAAATTTTGATTGCAAACTCACCTCGGACGTGAAAATTCAGCCAGCTGTTACAGGCAGGGAAGACAGTTGCTTTTGGTCACGCGTTGGTCACGCTCTACGTCCAATTTTTATGCTGTGATTGGTCAAAATTTGACAGGTGAGTTCATGCGCAAAATTTATGCAGCATCTTGAATCTTGTTTACTTTAACAGCTGAAGCTGACAGAGTTTTGTGTCAACTTGTGATGTTTTTAACTGTCTTTTTCCACTGGATGTACAAAATGAAATTCAGCTGCTATCAGGAGTCTTCTGTTACTCATGGCTAGTTTGTTTATTGGGTTTTTGGTTGAGAAAACGTCGCTTGTCAAAGTCGGAAATCCGATTTCGGATGGCATCGTTTTCGTTTTTACCTTGCTTGATGCGTAAGAGGATTGCAAAGTCTGAAGCGATACTGGCTTTACCTGATAACTTTCAGGAGCTGCATCTCGAATGGTAAGCCAGAGAAATTATTGTATTTCATGTTTGTTTTTTGTATCTAATTTAATGAAGTGGAGCGTAGTTTATGCGGGAATTTAGTTTATGCGCGTTTGTAAGATTTGAGACAACGATCTCACCGAGTATCTGGTTTGATATAATCTTACAGAACTTTAAAAAGCCTTTAGACAGTTTCTCACCGCAAATAGAAAGAAAATGTTCCAAAGAATCTTTAGTTATAATTCTGGCCGGAAAAGAAAGCTTTGAGCGATTTTCTTGCCTCGAGTTCGTCTCTGAAAAAACAAACACCGGGAAGCAGGCTTAAAACATAAACTTCAGCAACCTTAAGCTTGAAGCTTGAAGACTCAGGATATTTAGGGACACTTTAATACTTGTCTTCCTGAATGAAAATTGTTGTCTCTGTTTATGTTTCACCGAATTATATTTCTTTTATTGATTGTTAGTAGTCTCTCTTGCAATTTTAATCGCTATGCCGATTGTTTTCAGTCGTTCAGTGAACATCGCTTGCAGGAGTTCTCAAAATGCCGCGCGTTAAACCATCAAATAAAAAATAAACATGATAAATTCTTTATTATCTTGGAGCGTAACTCTGTTAATGTTCATTCAAACACTCGCTACAGCTCGCACTACAAAAGTGAGAACCGGATGGCCGTATAGGTGATTTTGGAAAATTTTTTTAACAGTTTATGAATATTGAATGAGAGCAATTTGTATTGTGAAATACTACTTTCTGTCCATGGTATAAAAGGTTGGTTTACACGCGCCCAGATTTGTTGGCAAGATTTTGCAAAGTAAACTTGTCGAACGCCAAAACGTTGGCCTGGATTTTTTTTCTAAGCCTAATTGATCTACGGTGATCAATAGCCATTACGACTCTTAAATGTGATAAAAGATGATTACCAGTTTTTGAGTGTACATATGAGGCTATCAACTCGATGTAAGATTTGGTTCACTCTTGGGCTGTTTGCAAATTATTTTTCTCTAAAATCAGGTAGCCTTTCCCTCAAAAGTCACATAAATGTGCTCTAAAGTTAACTGAATTGTGGAATTCGAATACAAGTTTATTGTTTAATTTAAATTATAAATTTACTAATGGGAGCCTCGCTTTTAGCCCTGGCTAAATCTATATATTACTGAGGAGCAACGCGAAAGAGAGCAAGAGAGAAACAGAGAAAGGAGGCAAAATTTTGCTGACGAACAACGGGGAAAAGCGCAAGAAAGAGAAAGGGAAAGGCGACAAAATTTCACTGAAGAGCAACTGGAGAATGAACGAGAGAGAGCAAGAGAAAATAGACGCCTAATAAGCGACGAGCGGCGAAGAAGGGAGCGAGAGACAGCAAGGGAAAACAGGCGTCGTATAAACGAAAACGAACGAGAAGGAGGAGAAGGTGACCGAATTTTTGCCGAGGTTAGCTTTCAGTTATATGAATCGGGGATTTTACGAAAACAGAGGTAGCTTTTGTTTTGTTTGTGAATCAATAACCTCTTTGTAATTGCATCAGTTTTTTTAGACCAATCACCACACGTCATTTGTTGTCACGCAGTCTAGAGTTGATACCATTTATCATCCATTGAAGTTGACCTGTGTCCTCCAAGTTCGTTGAAGAGAAACGATCTGATTGAAATTTCACTTTAACAAGACAGTCGCGTCCAAGATAAAATTATAGAGTAACCTTATAATTCGTGCTCCTCGGTGTATTTTCGTTGTTTCTGGCGCGGAAAATAAGGTAATCTTAAATTGTATTAATGAAATTTTATCGAAAATTATAACCATTGCTATGTGTCCGATGCATCGCTGAATGAATGATAACTCCTTATGTAAATTTTAGGCGACTCTGGCCTCTGTGACAAGTTAAAATGATTCAGTGTTAGAGGATTGTAAATTATACGGTCTGTGAAAGCGTTGTTATGTTTTCTGAAAAGAGAGCAGAGAGCTCCTTGAATTTGAAGATTTTCAATGTCTGTTGAAAGAGCGTTTTGGTGCAGATTGTTCGAGCTTACCCCTATTTGTTTTATTCAGGGTAAACAGAATTTGAAGGATCTATTCTCCCTCTTGTAATTGAAATAACTTTTATTATTTTACTATAAATCTAGGCTTTTCCATTTTGTAGATACCTATCTTCGAGTGTTTAAGAATATATGTGGAGATCTATGTAAATAAGGAGGGCAGCCAGGGTTAGAAATTAGTTGTGAATGTTGACAGGCCAAACAAATTTAAGCTCGGTCATGTCTAGTTACTAACCGGTCAAAATAAATTATTACCTGCCAAACAAATTTTAGCTCGGTCATGTGTAGTTACTAACCGGTCAAAATTAATTATTACCTGCCAAACAAATTTTAGCTCGGACCGGTCAAAAGACAGTAAAAACTCGTGGGTAAGAACCTGGATTTTCTTATTGCATTAACAGGTACGTTCTTACAAAAATAGTTATTGGCAAAAAATTTCTCTATTTTTCTAAAATGAAAAGGTTCTTATTTTCTGAAGGAAAAAAAACATTGCAGCTTATGTCTCCCAAAGAGGTTCACCTGAATATTTTCCAGGTGTATAGAATTTTTTTTTATAGATTTGAGAAAATAAAGATGTGTGTCAAATATTGGGCTAAACAGGTTCTTGTATAGAGGGGGCCTAATTATAACTGGCAGGTTTAGCCTAACAGGTTCCTAAAAACCAGGTTCCTAGTCACAGCTAGGTTTTTACTGTATTGAAGACATTGTACTTTGCAGTAATAGCCAAATTAAGACAAACATTATGTGATCATAAATGTTCTAAAACTCCTTGTGTTGAGAGATGGGGAAATATTACAAACCAGTTTTGAGTGTGGTTATCAAGTTGTTCATTCATTGGAAGGTACAGTGTAGTAAATAATATTTCCAGGAATATTGTCAAGCTCAGCTCGTTTATTCTTAAAAACAATTCCCCAGAAGAGTTAAACCAGAAATCACAACTTTTGGCTCAGTATTGTTCTGACATGTTTTCTTTGAACAATAGGTGTATGTAGGGGTGAGGGAAAATTCTTGCCCAACTAAAGATTTTATCTTATCTTCTTAGCCATGGAAGAACATGAAAGTCAGGTCCTCCAGGTTGAATGTAGCATGGAATGCTCTCTGCTTGGTGAACAAGAGCAAAGTCACTCAGCAGGTACTGATATAGTTCATGGTAGATGGTATTTATTATAGAATTGTATAATTGAGTAAAATCACGCATTCTGATTGGTTAACGAAGAGAGCGTCTAGTGCGGCTCATAACAAAAGCTCACTATCTAGCAAATACCACCCCTTGTTTAGCCAGCTTAAAGTCCTTGACATATTTAGTATTAATTCATTTTCTGTCACTACTTTTATGTATTCTTATCACCATAATCTTTTGCCTAGTAGCTTTCGTGACTTGTTCTTAAGTAGTAATCAAGTCCATCAATATCAAAATTTGACTGGCCTCTCAGTATAGACCTCGTTTTTGTAGATCAAATAAAAAGCAATTCAGCATCCTTTACCGAGGACCTAAAATCTGGAATTCGTTGCCTGTTTCACTAATTAGCTCTCCTTCTATATTTGTTGTTAAAAAAAATTTAAAGAATTATCTCACTGATAGCCGATCTGTCGCTTAATTTTCTGATCTCGCTCACTCTGCACTCAGCCATGAACTTTATAGTTCTCTAGGTAGTTGAAGGAAGCCTATTAATATAAGCTTCAAGCTTCGTTAGACTTCCTTGTCACATTAATTTTATAATTTAATTAACACCTTTTGTTTATGTTGTATAAGGTTTTGTGAGTGACTAAATAAATAAATAGTTAAAAACAAACAAAAGCATTTTTTAAAGTGATCCGGAGGTTCCTCCTTGTTTTGAACTAAACTACAAATTCTTGGAGAGGTATAAAAAAACCCCTTTCGCTAGCGACAATGAGAAAACAAGAAAATCCTGTGAACACAGCCCAGAAAATGGCAAGCCAAATTCAAACAAACAAAACGGAGAAGCGACAGTGGAGGAAGTGCCAGGGTCAATTGTCACATATACAGAAGAAGAAATAAATACCTTCAAAGATCACATTGTCCCTGAAAACACGAAAAAGAGTACGCCACTTGCATTCATCCTGAATCGTGGTTCTTAGAAAAGTACAAAACAGAGCTGAACTTGAACAGCATTTTTAAAACATTTCAAGGTACTTACCTTATATCAATCGCAACGTTTAACTTTCAGTGCTTTGCTTTGGACACTTCATTTCTTTCAGTTTTGCTACCGAAGAGGTAAAAGGTGTAAATTATTGTCCTTCGCGAGCAAATGACCAATTTGAAAGAGGATGTTATAGATAACCGGCTTGTAAATTCAGTGAAATACCTCTATTTATCCCTACAATTAGTGTGAAGCTTGTTCACGTGTAAAAAAGTTTGAAAACAAATGTAAAAACAAGCACAAGGTACAAAAAAAGTTGTCAAAGGTTCAAACGTGTATGACTGACCTTCCTTCCTATTCGCTAACGCAATGACAGGTTTGACATTTGACTTTGAAATGGCTTTCTGGGGCGCGCGCTCAGGATAAAAACAAACAATATTATTTTCTGATTTTTATTTGATTATGCGATTCAAGGAAAATCCATTACCTGACTCGTGAATTCCACATTAAATTGCACTTGAAAACCGATATCGGTTTTCGTGTGCAATTTAACGTGGAATTCCCTCGTCAGGTAATGAATTTTCCTATAAAACTTAATAATATATGTGGAAAAATTTCTTGAATCAGATTGGCTTAGAGCAGTGCAGTTTTTAGTAAACACAGTACAAAAACAAGGAAACATAATGCAAAGATAAGGAAATAAAGTGCAAATTTCTCAGAGAATGAAAACCTGTGATTGGCTAATAAACAATCAGTGTTCTCCAGAAGCGCGGGCAACTGGCAGTTTCACTGGGAACTATTTTCCAAACTGCCAGCTACTCTTATGAGTCAAAACATAAAAAAAAACTGTCTGTAACTTTTATCTGAATTTTTCGTAAGTTCCATTTTTTTCCGCGAAGGATAAAACGGCACCCGAAGCAAATCGTGTTAATTCATTTCTTAGAATACTAGAACATGCAATTTCATCGGGAAAATAACAAACAAACAAAAAAGCCACAAGAGCTTGTTTGAAAGTTTATCGAAAAACGCATGAAAATACATGGAACTAAAGTGCCTTGAACAGCTACAAAAGAAGACAGGTGCCACTCGCTGAGGCACTTGCCGATAGATAGCTGCGGCTTGTTTATCCGACATGAAGAATATAAATCACAAGCAACCAGAATACAGGCTATGCAGCCATTCACTACAGCAATCGAGGCGTCAGTAAAGCTTCTTTTCTTGTTCAGCAAAACCAGCTTGTGGCTTCAAACAACGTCATAACAAGCGACCAAGGTAATAGTTTTTCTCCGTTGTTCTTACTTTTGTAACTGCTCCAAAAATCCAAATTCACAGTAATTTTGATTGCTCTTAAGAATTATTTTTCTTCACATTATCTGCCAGGTTTTTTTATCTGTCCCGCTGTGTAAAATCCTAGAATCTCAATGAGTTTTTTAAAAAGTGTTCATCTTTACAATGTTTTGATTTTTCATTCATCCAGTCCAGGCGAGTCGGTTCACGCGTTGACAGTTCTGATAGACATGTGACACGTGGTTTGTTCTAACAAGATTCAAAGGGATTTTGTGGGCGTTTTTAATAAAATAATTATTCCACTTGCGCTTGTTGGATGAGATGATTATTGCCAACTTGGCGCTATGTGTCTTGTTGGCTATTTACCATCTCATATCCAACGTGCCCTTGTGGAATAATTGTTAATTATAAAATAACTAAGATAGTACGTGCATTCTGATTGGTTAAAAACCAATGGTTTATTGTGCCGTTAAAATCATAGAAAACTGAAACGTGCTTTAAAGTTATTTTATAAAAGTAAAAGATCACATTTTCTAAAGGTTTGCTGGTGTGATAACCCACTTGGGATGTTGGGAGAAGACTGGAAAAGCTTGTAAACCACCAGCTTAACTTCTCAGATCTCTGGGCCTCATGCCCCCAAACCCCCCCTTAGATACGGTACTCTCACTTTACCAGCACTTGGTGTCAGGCACCAGTTACTTTACATTGGGAGTTGGCTACTCTAAAACTTCTGGAGAACACTGAACAATAGAAATATATAAGAACCAATGAGCCTCAGGTGTCACAATCTGCTTGCTTATCTTCTTAGCCGTGGAAGAACATGAAAGTCAGGTCGCCAGGTTGAATGTAGCATGGAATGCTCTCTGCTTGGTGAACAAGAGCAAAGTCAATCAGCAGGTACTGATATAGTTCATGGTAGATGGTATTTATTATAAAACTTAATAATATACGTGGAAAAATTTCTTGAATGAGATTGGCTTAGAGC